AGTGAGTTTTTACCCCGATCGGGTCTACCGTTTTTACAGAAATTAAATCCCCGAAATAATATAAAAACCTTTCCACATCTGGCGGTGCGAGCTCCTAGGGGAAGGTAGGTATGGAGTGTAGGAAACCCTGGTCTTGACGTTCATTCATGGACATACATAAACGTACAAATGCACTTTAACCGATCAACCGAAAACATTCATACACACAATCATACTTGGACGAAAATACTAACTACAGAAGTGTCACTACACCCTTCGGTCATCGCGCTATTTACCCTTCCCGGCCATCAAGTTCTACCCCAAATTAAGTCCACTCTAATTGTTCTTGACCACGTGTTTGGAAACTATTTTGTTTCCCTTTCAATTGTTACTCGAGATTAGCCTTTCTAATTCAAGATAATACAATTAAACGTAAACCAAATGTGTTAAGTTCAATTATATCTATTATTTCAAGCAATAATAAAAAAACATAGTATATCACTTAAAAGTCATTCTCAAAATTGCCAATATACTGTTGATATGAATTGAATAAACACTTCACAATAGAGATACTATTTGAGTTTCTATTGTTCATTTTAATTTTGTCAGATGGGTATTATTATAGCAAATGTACATATTTAAGAAATGCAATCATTCGAAGTATATGTATTTTTTGTAAATTCATGTGCAAAGAAATATGTTTCATCAGTTATTCGACCACATATATTTGAGATCCATAGAAAATGTGTATAACGCATAAATATACAACACAAATAATTTTATAAAGATTTCTGTATTATATTATAATAAAATGTGACAATTTTTATATAAATATATAAAGTAATACAAAAAATAATTAAATTGTCTATGCATTTAGTTCTGTGATTTATTAATTCACAAACAGATCTTCCAAAGTTTCTGAATAAATAATTGTTATCATGAAAATGATGATTAAAAAGATACTCGTTAAAATTCTAGAACCGTACGTTATTTTATTATCATTAAAATGTTAACACCCCTATAATTATAAAAGGTATTATTTATAAGGATAGATATTAAGCACATGTCACACCGCATATTACACTGGACAGAGTCCTATATGAATATCATATGATATTATTATGTGCACTACGCATTATGAAAAAGGCCGAAAATGAAAGAATTTTTATGGGTTTTGTTATTTAATCGAATTCATTTCTACATCCACTAATATTTAAATTAAAAAATCCGTTATAATTTTTCACAAAATTAATTTTAATATAAAATATTAATGCATATCATTTTTCCCAAATTCATATTCCCGTCAAAACTTGTTCAACTATGTACTCGGATTGTATTAATAATTATTATTTTGGACACTGGTGATTTCGGCCATTTTAAATGGACGTATAGCACTTATAATATGATACTTGAAATATGATCGGCTGACCACCACATGTTAAATGTGTGGCAAGATAACGTCATTAAAGGACTCGGTCCCCTATGTACATGTACATGTTACAAGTATATATTTGTAACGCGTGATCATCAAAATATTCTCTGCTACATAATTATAATCTCTCGTATGTTGAGTCGATCGTTTAATAGTTCATATTTAATGTTAAAAATAAAAAAGTTCAGAATTTAATGAATCTTAAATATATGGAAATAATAGTGTATTAACACTATTTAAGATAGAAGGGATGCGTTTTATTTATCAAATTACTTTTATTTGTGAATATTTCTAGAAAATGAGAAAACATTTTTTTAATATTAGACAATATTTAATCATTATATGAGAAATTAAAAATATTGAGGTCTTAATTATGTACTATTATAATATAAAAATAGCAGTTAAAAAAAATCCAATTCATTAGTTGCAAAAAAGAATTTTAATTTATTAAAAATCATTAATTTATATTCTCATTGAAATTTAAAAAATGTCAATTTCTTTTAGTTTATTCCGCTTCAGACGTGTTTGCACTTTTGTAAAGTCAAAAAGAAGCGAAGAATCTATTGAGAAATGTTTCCGATTGTTAGCACAAGAAGATTGAAAAAGATTATTTTTATTTACGACCACGACCCCTTTTCCTCACAAATTTACCTTTTTTGGATACTTTCTTTTGGTGTACTCATATATTTAAGTGCGGTGCGCAGAGTACAACTCGACCATGAAAACGGCATGCGTACGAGGGAAAATGCTTTTGAGTTGTTTACAACTTCTCTGTTAATGCAAACACGGATACTGTTATGGAAATAAAATCCTCAAAATGTACAAATTCGCTGGCTTTATGTAGTAAATATTTGCAGTGTCAAACACAGGGTTGTAATCCAATTCCGGTAACTGTTGTTCACGATTGACTAATTTTTGTATATTTTGACAAAAAAAAAAAGTAGTGTCTGACAATAAAAAAGAAAAGGTCGCATGTACCCCTATTTTACATCCCTTTGAGCTGGTTTAGTGCAAATAGAATAGAAATATTTACCGTTCGTACTATGTAGATTGCCAATTATATTAAATGTCTCTATTATCAGTTGTATTTATTTTTTAATTAAAATAATTGTTTTCATAAAATTATTAATTGCGTAACCAACTACAAATAATTTACTTTCTGTTAGGTATGACGATCGTATTTTTTTCTAGCTACTTTTTGAGTTTTTTTTTTTGTTTATTCGAACTCAGTTAATTTAAACCCTAATTATATACTGTTTATAGAAATGATAATATAATGACAACCTTTATATCAGATAATTAGGCAGAGTTTACAACCTATATTACTTTCATGTAGATCGCTCCAAAATTGTAAATATCCATAATTACTATTAACTAGTACACTAGTAGTTAATAATAGTGTTAAGGAAACAAATAAAAGTTAAATTTAAATTTATCCTTGTTATTTTATTTTTGTGTGAACAAAATACATCAATTCGATGCTTTAACATTATGCTTTTATTACTTACACCTACCGTGTATTGTTGTAACATTAGTATTATCATATTTCAGAGTGTCGAATTATAGTCATATTTATTGATTTCAATTCTGAGTGAAAATGTATCCATACACAAAAGCGTTTATAATAACGGAAAAAAAACACTTAAAAAGTGTTGTTATTGTTATTGTAATACTTAAATTGTAACGTGACGAAGGTTTGATATTCAAACGCACATGGCAATTATTCCGTTCAAACCGTGTAAGTTAAAACGACTAATAAAAGTCATTGGAGAGTTGATAACGTGGATAACAGTGTTGCATCCAAGTCTACATGGAAAAAATATAATAGTCCAATATACTTACTAACATTAAAAGGCTTTATGATATTCTTGATGGAAGGTCCAAACACTGGGGTCTGTAAATCTCTCAGTGTCACGTCCAAAACCGAACGAGGCGAAAATAAAATCAAGTCGCATAAAACTCAGTCGTTACGGGATAACTTGACAATGGAATTAGTGCACCGCAGTAAAATTAGAAAACTATATTCTTACATCAAACACTTGCACGAATATGCCTAACACTAAACCAAGACAATGTCTTTTCGTTAAATACCAACTACAGACAGTTAAATGTTAGCGAAATACAATGTTCGCCTTTGTTACGACATGCAAAGGTTTATAATCATAGTTTATGCCTTCCAAGAAGGAAAATGTTATAATAGGATTTATTACAGACTTATAAAAATAAAAAATGAGTAATGTGGTATTTTTTGTGCTCCACATCAATACAGATGGCAGATACTAGTTTAATGACTTTTCTTTTTTCTAGGGGTCCTTCTCGATTTTTGAGTTTTACACTTCTAGTTAATGGTACTAAGTCGTAATAAACTAATACATTTTTTACAGATTTAAATTTAAAGCATTTACAATCGATATGTTTCAAATTGAGACAACTTTGTATGTGTGATATTTATAGGAAAAATAGTAAAAATTTTAACAATGTTTACCAATACAGATATAAGATATAACGAAAACAGATAATCAAATAATCGCAGGTCATAAATATTTAAAAAAGTATTATTAAAATATGAAATTTTCAAAGAAATATATGATAGTTTGTAATATCTCTATAAATGATGGAATTGCAACCGGTTAGTGTAATAAGACAGAAACAACACCATCAAAAAGAGGTGACATTGCCAGTTAACAAACAAAAATAATTTGTTTAATTAAATGATTTAGTGAGGTCGAAATAAGTTTATAAAAGTAAAAGATTGGATAAAAAACGTAAGGGCATCTCGATTTTACCGTATTGTTTCAAAACTATTTTTATGAATAAATTTTGAAATATAACTGAGTGTCAATAAATGGTCTCTCCAGACGTCAATCACTGTTGAAACCATTCAAATTAGACTACAAGTTACTATACAAATAAAGATCTTATCATACCGACTAATCATAGATTGATTAAATCACATTAATGGACTGAAATTCGATTTTGATAATCAACTGTACTCTTAAAACTAGGTTGAAAAATAGTATTAATCTCTCATGAGCAAAATATGGTCACATAAAATGTTTTGATGAAATATTATAAAATAAGCAAATCATTAATTATAAGTGACGTCACAATATGTAACTTGTTATTTACTTTGAACATTTACACATCATTTTTTAATAAATAATTATCTTGAAAATATTTGTAATAAATTAAAAAAACTAGAAACATTACGCAATATTTTATGTTTATTTCTATTGTTGCAAATAAAATCAAGTAATAAATAATAAAATGAATTATTTAAAAATTACTAAAATAATGTATTTAAGGTGTATATAATACATATGAAATAATGTATTCATAAGAATAAAATCTATTAAAAAATAACGTTTAGTGCAATAAAAATGGTATTTTTAAGCTGCATTAAAATCATTATAATGATTTATAACATTATTTATCCAGCTATTTCCAAAGAAGTAATGTATTAAAAATTATTTACTAGTTACCATGAAATTTCATTCAATAACTCTTTTCAAAATATATGTATAAATATTAATTAACAAGCTAAATTCAATTGATGATTCTAATTAACAATTATCAAAATTAATTTTAGGTAGTTCAATACGTTTCCGAAGTAAAAGAATTAAATTTTAATGGAACCATGAATGTTGTTACAAATATAATAGATATTGATCATTACTTTAATCCAGTTTCTGAACAATGGCAACTCAATATGCAAAATAAGCTCAAATTTAAATGTTCTACAAAAAATTTTGAGGTTGTACGAAAAAGTAAACAACCAAAATTATTAAATAAACCAGACCAAATTTGTAATCATACAGTTAAAAAAGAAAATTGCTTCTATAGAGCATTATCCACTATTATATGTGGGAATGATCAATATCATAATGATCTTAGATTTTTAATCATTGAAGTAAGAAAACTATTTATATTGTAATACAAAATATGTTATTTTTGTTAATCATTAATTTCTGATTTGGTAAGCATTTAAAAAATAACAATGCATATATGGAAAATTTATTGGGACAATTTAACATGGAAGATTATTTATGGCAACACTTATCAACTGATCCAAGTAAGTTAAAGCATTGAAAGTTGTTTAAATTAAATATTATATTGTGGATATGATAGCACTAATAATATACAACTATTTATATATTAAAACATATTTTGAATTAATCATCATATAATATTTAACTTAATCAGAAAATATAAGTGGTTTTACGATTTGACATTTAATGATATACATTTAATAAATTTTAAAACATCATTTTAAAAATTTTGATTTAAGATCGAAAATTCTAATAAATGTTATACATTTAGTTGCATATTTCATTAGCTATTATAAATGGTTAAACAATAATGTTAATATAATATAAAATACTTTTGTGAGCCATTGTTTTACAGTTGATTTTAATTCTCAGGTATAAATATAAGTCCTGATATTGTTGAAATATTAGCAGCTGCAGTTTTTTTAGAAACATGTATTTACGAATATGATTATATTACTCAAAAATGGAATTTCTACCATAAAGATTGGCCTAATTATCAATCATTTTCAAATAACCAACAATGTATTTACATAGCTCAAAGCAGAACAGAGTTTTCTTTAGTTTGTAATGTTGAAGACACTGAAAATGTCAAAACGTAAAAAACAAAAAATTATAAATATAAATAGTATTGAACTTAAAATAATTTTTTTTGTAAATTTTTGCTTTGTTATTTAATAATTATTATTAATTTTTATTAATGAGTTAACTTTTATACATTACATCAGTATATTTCAAGATCTTTAAAATTTTGTCCTATAGAATTTTTTATCTGAAAACAATTAAAATTAAGTAATGATAACGATTAGTAGCAGTGTACACTATAAAATTGTATAAATGAAAATTCAACTATTACCGTAAATTTTAAGAACCAATATAATATGCAATGTTAATATTTATGTGTAATTTTTTTTTTATATTACTGTCCTAATAAGTTTTTCTTTAATACTTCCTAAAACTTTATTACTTAGATTTGAGAACCTACAAAAATAATTTTTTGTGCGCGGTAAAATTGAAACTGATGGTAATTTAAATAGTAATATAGTCTTTATTTATATTGAATTAACGTTTCTCATAGACAAAATTTAAGTACAAGTTATTTTGAAACTCCTTTTTTAGCATTACAATGATGATAGCATAATTGTTTAATTTTCAATATTTTAGCTTCAATATGTAACTGAGAGACTATTGATTTTACTCAATCGTGTTTTTTTTTTGCTATATGTGTATATAATTACTTCACTTTCACTAACCGATTTTTCAACAATACTTCTGTATATTATTTAATGTATCTAGTTTCAGCTATATGTGACATAATTTTAAATTTTTTTCTTCAATTCTTGTAATATATGTCCTAAAAAACTATAGCTAAAATATGAAAAACAATCCGAAAACGTATAATTATTGGTTAATTAGTCAAAAATTACACAGTTTTCAGTAACTATGGACGAATTTGTAAATTGTTTAACCTTTTAAGCAGGCGCGAGCCTATTTATAACGTTCATAGTCGCGTGAGGGTCTATCAGAACCCATTTCTAAAAAAAGGATAAAATATTTATAAAAAGTTCATTTTTTTTAATTCAAAGACATTGTTTGTTAGCATATGATAAAATTCAAAAATTAAAATTAAAAAATAAATAAAATACAAAAAAAACTTAATTTCAAAATTTTATTAAAAAATTTTGGTTTGTAAAAAAATTATTTTAACTGCAAAATCTTATTTTTAAGGCGGTAAACAAAAGCTTTTACTACTACCAAATGTATTTTAATTAATTTTTCTTGTATTTCCTTGAGCTCAAACACGGCTTATATTTACTACTTTTATGTGTATTTACATTTATATAAATTACATTTTTTTGAATTGAATTTTTTTATTATTATTACAATACATTTAAATATTATGATACAAGTATATACAATTATTCGTTCATAGCAGCACATCGATTATCGATAATCAATGTGTCCACATTGCGACGCGATGTATTTATTACATGTTTTTTTCTTATTTATTTCGTATCATCGAGTAGTGAATATTCTCAATAGATTATTTATTTTTAAAACTTAATTGCACAGTCGGTAGCATAATTCCAATTACACAATTATATTGATTATAACATTGTTTTTACAATAAAACGATATTTTGAAAAAAAGTCCAAAAAAAAATTATAACGTTACAAATTGCGTGGGGGTCAATATGACCCATTTCAATTTTTATGGATATTATAAGTCATACATTTTTTTTTCAAAGGTATTTATTTATGAAAATCGATTCAATATTACTATACAATATTCTAAATTTATATCTATGTACACCTTTTATGTAATATCCGTTTTAGCTTCAAAACCTCCAAAAAAATTACAAATTTAATAATCGCTAATTTTCGAAATTTTTAAAATTTTTTTTACTAAAAACTGCCGTAACTTTTGAATAACAAAAATGAATATATCAATATAATTTTTTTTTTTTTAATGCATGATGTGTTTACCTATCATTTGGAATATTATTTTTGGAAATCTGATATTTCACCTGCCCACAGGGCATAATTTTGTTATATATTATAGTTACTAATTTAATAGCGAAATAGTAATTATTATTTTGATTTATACTATTTTAACTATAATAATTATAGAACCATTTTTACTTTATTTGTTATGTACCAAAAACACTTGTAAAAAATTAATTCGTTATAGTTTTATATTTATAGAAAAACCTTGAAATTTACAAAAAAGAATTATTTATTCAAATAATTATTTAATACTAAAATTCATTTTTCTATAGAATTTAATCAATTTATGCACAAGAAATTTCTAGTGAGTTATCATTTTAATTATCACTAATACAAGTAAAATGAATTATTTTAGTATTATACATAGTATGTTATTGAACATAACAATTTCCAATGCAATTATTGTACCTAAGACTAATGAACTATTTACGAATATTGAATATCAAACTTTTGTAACCAATGACGATCTAAATGAACTTATAAGAGGGTATCCAGCATTCCTTCAGCTAACATTACGAGAAAATAAATATTACACTGGTAGTGATGCATCTCTTTGTCCTCTACCTTATGATGAAAATACACTTTTGGATGATCCTGATGTTGAGAAATTAGAATATTTTGACCCGAGAAAATGTGAAAAGCCGTGGACGTGGACGCAACAAAATCAAATTATTGTTCCTGTTCAAAAAGAATTTACCATTAACAAAAGGTTAGGGAAACTGATTTTTCGAAATAACAATTTAGAAATTATTCAGAGTTATACTCATTATCTGAATACTATGGAAAGTGTTGGAATAACATTAGTCGATAGATTTTGTTTGTTTTTAATTGAAGTCATGAATAGAATCGATATTTTCTCTGAAGCTGTAGTAATTATTTCATTATCGGATAGGACTATAGATTACCTAATAGGAAATGTAATCATTTATTACTTTAAAAGTTTATTAAGACATATGTTAGACACATTTAGGAAGTACTTCATTTCTACATTACCTCTTGACTGTATTTCGAATGTTCTGAAGGAAATTTATCCAAATGACGTATTAAATAATTTTGATGGTATACAAATTCTAAAAAAAAATATTGAAAAATACAAAGCGCAATTATTAGAATGCAGAAAGCTTGCACATTTAAAAAGAAACTATACTATTCTTATAAATGATGACTTATGGGAGCACGATAACATTTCAAAGGAAATACCTGACAATCAAAATTTAATAACATTATATCAAGACAGTGTTAAAAAAGTAGCTAAACTTTTTAATGTGCCAAAAGTTTTTTCACTTATTTATTTATAATTAGCTAAACTTTTTAATGTAACAGAAGTTTTTTTATTATCAATTAATAATTATAAATTTATAATTAGTTTTTATAAAAATTATATTTAGTATTACATTGAACTATTATATTATGTTATATAAATTAAGCATATTTTGTTGATTCATATTTAAATACATTTTTACTATTAAAATGAAACAAATAAATTCGTTAAGATATTGAGTTATCAAATGAATATTTTTTGATAAAATAATAAAGATAATAAGATTTACTAAAAAATATTTTTATACAATAAATAATTTCGATTTTTATTATTTATGAATTAATAATTATTATTTTACAATTATTTTATATAAATATAATATTAAGTATCACATTAAACTACTTTATTATGTTATCATATAAATTATCCTTATTTTTTAAATTCATATTTAAATATTTATTAAAATGAATCTGTTGTAACTTAGTCTCAGCTTTCGCCGAACCTATTTCTTTCAACGATACGTCAAAAGATCACAGATCGTATCTATAAGAAGACATTAAATTTTTAAAAATTTCAAAATGATTTTCATCAAAATAGTATTTTTATAATAGTACTAAGTAGAAAAAAAAATTAACTTTGGTAAAAAAATTTTTAATTGTAGAGACAACTAGCTTATAATAAAGCTGCCAATGTCTCTAATAAGAAATTAAGATTTATCGCCTAATTTTTTTATTAATTTTAAAAAATTACATAATTGTTATCATCAAAAATATCGTGAAAAGCATGTTTAAACAGTTCTGTAAATGATATTTTTATATGAATTATTATTGTAATACGAAATTATAGTCATTATCTGCTAAAGGACTTGCCTTATCGTTGCCCATTTGGATTTGTATATCTTGAGGAAATTTAAGTGCAGTGGTTTCCCATTGCCTTCTGCACTAGGAACATAATGCTTACGTAAAATCGTATGTATGGTCTCCCATCCGTTCACCTACACCAGTAGGCGCGACTTAACACTAGAGTTTTGTCAACAACTAGTGTGACCAACGAGCCACGCCACACCGAATAACAGTAATCATCATAATTTAATTAGAGCTCAAAGTATGTAATGGAAATTCGATATTACTATTATTTAGGTTATTATTTAAAATTCTAAATAATCATTTTTTAAGTTTTATAAAAAAAAAAATGTTGAATTGTTTAATTAAAACGAATTATTTACATAAGTTAGCAATAAGAACAGTAAAATACATAATGCGAAACGTATATAACGTAATCAAATTATGAATACAAAATTTTACTAATAAAATTCATAATGTTATCAATTTAATTAAATGCTGCTGACAGAGAAAACGTTTATTATTTTTGTTATTTTCCACTCAGTTTCTTTCTTTTAGATAATTACTATATTTAAATATATTAAAATAAGTTTAATTAAGTATCATTAAAAATAATTGGAGCTTAATGTCAATAAATAATGTAAACTGATCAAAATTTAAAATTGGAATTATATTTTCAAAGTATATCTTCACACAATTTTCATCCTCTAAAAGTTAGTATCATATTATTTAGCACAAGAATTAAATTTTAATTAAATAAATTTGGTGTTAAATAAAGAAGAAAATGTGTAAAATTGGGTCAGTATTATAGCATTAAGTTGAAGTTAAAAAATATATTTGTTAAACAATGACCTCAGTTTTAGATATTATTATTTATCACTTAAGATGATCTAATTTCTGTAATGTTATTCGTAATTGAAATATTTTAAATGTAAATTATAGTGAAAATATTTTGACGTATATCTTATTTTTATATTAAGTATGTGATGTAATTAAGTATACATGTAATGTGATATGATATTGTTTTGTATGATCTGTCAAGAGAAAATAAAAAACATTAATTTTGTCATAACAATAATATAAATGTTAATTTTTATTAATATTTAAAATCAATGAAAATAAATTGTATATATCTATAGAATACCATCGTATATGAATTAATTATTTTTTTCCAATGATGTTATTGATATATATAAAAATCTTTTTGCTGTTCATTAACATTGGTTTTACATATTCCATACAGGTAATTAATTTATTAATTTAGTTATTATTTGATGAAAATATAAAAATTAATTAGTCAATAATTTTGATGTTTGTGTATAATTAAATAATGAAATGTCTATTAAGTTGATTAATTTGCAATTTGTTAATGAATATTAATAAAATATTTTTGTTTTAATAATTTTATGTAACAATTAATATTTGATATAATCTAGATCGTAAAATATATTTCTGAAATAACGAAATTTAATCAAAATGGAGTTTTAAAAGTTGTAAGAAAACCAGTAGAATTTGAACATTATTTTCATCCAGTTTCTCAAAAATGGAAAGTTGCAACACGTAAAAAGTTTCAATTAGATTTTAATAAATTTTCGTTCGAAGTTGTAAGAGATGACAATCTTACTAAATTACTAAACACGCCGTATGAAAAGTGTGTTGTTGAGATTAAAAAAGAAAATTGCTTATATATTAGGGTGGTCCTTATTTTTTTTTTTCGAAATTTGATCGGGCCACCCCCCAAATTTGTTCTAAACTATAAAAAAATGGTTCATACTTAATTTCGTTAATTTTGGTCAACCCTAAGCCGTGCCTCAAGAGGGTTGAAAACTCGGTAATAAGGGTAGTTTTTCAGTTATTGTGGTTTATCTCAAAAACTATGACATTTACGTAAACGTTTATAAGAAAAAAATTGTAGATATTAATATTCTAAATAATAAAGTTCATTACTAAAAAAGTCGTAAGTCAAGTATTTACCTCGTAAAAGTTAAAAGTTCAAACATTTTTTAAAAAAGGTGTTTTTCAGTTTTTTGCGATTAAATCCGAAAGTATTAACTATAGAAAAAAATAACTTATTATAAAATGTTTTTAAAATTAAATTTACAATAATATTTGTTATAAGTGTTTTTCTCATAAAACGACTCATTCTATCACAAAATAACAAAAACTCGGTTTTATACTATAATAAATTTTATATTGACAAAATAATAGATTATTTTGGCTTATTTATGTCAACGAGGTAATCCTCTCATCAGTATTCTCATTGTGTAATGTTTAAAAAAAAAGTTGATTTTTATTTTTAATCTTATTGTATAGGTATCAAAACGTGTTTTATTTTATCAAGCTTTTTAGGTATCATTATTGATTTAGAATCTTAAATGTTTCACTATCTGTTTTTAAAAATTATCAAAATCATATAAAATTAATATATTTTTGTCACCTATTGTTAGATTACACCTGTTGATAATTCTTCGATAATAGGTTTGATTGTAACCAATAAGTAAAATTATACTATTACAATAGTTTAAAACTCGTTTATACTCGCAAATACCTATTGCAGCATTTGAACGGGCTTGGTACCAAGTTTTTGTTTATATTTTGTTCGTTTTAACGCTGATTAAGTGTAATTTTTGTTATTTTCTACGTTTTTCTTTTATTATTTAATATTAAAAGTAGTGTTGTAATATGTCACACAAAGTAAATTTGCGTAAACAGATTTATTTATTAGGTCATACTGTCCATCAAATTTTTGGCTGTAAATTACCTTCTAATATACAAGTTCTTAGAGTATTGTTTCATAATATACGTGAAGTCAAATTAAGCATTCGTGATAGTGCACGATTAGTAATAGATGAGGTTTTAATATTTTGGCAAAAAGCTCGCATTCCAACTCGTGAAGTACGTCACTGTATATTAAAATTGGAAGCAATTTACGACGAATGGCGAAGTTTGCAAAAAAATGCATCACGACAAACTGATACTCAAAAAAAAAAAGAAAATTGTTTTATCGATAAATTTGACGACCTTTTTGATATAGCACATGCTGACGCTATGAATCTGATGAGTATTGAGTTGGATAAACAATTTTTAATTCGTCAACGTGAAAAAGGTCGTCCGGGATCGTTGAGTGGAATCGATTATGATTCATATCAAGCTGAACAAAAAAAGTATTTACGCTTTGAAAAAACAGAAAAAAGAAAAAAACGTACTTATGATGAAATAAAAGCATCGTGTAAGTGTTTAATTAACTTATAAATGTTCTATTATATTATATTGTTTATGAATAATAATTGCAGATGATACAGTTAAGTTTTATTCAGGATCGTCAGAAAGTGACACTGACGATGATAGTCAAATCATGTCGACCAATGATGATTTAATTTTTGAGAAAACATTATGTGAACCTGGTCCATCTACTAGTAAACGAGCTTCAAAACAGTTTCTCACTAACAAACTTGTAGCTGCATTGGATAGATGTATGATCAGTGACAGAGACGCCACTCATTTACTTATGGCAGCGGCTGAAGCATTTGGTCAAAACGTTGATAGTTTGGTAATAAATCGTTCGTCAATACATAGAGAACGTGAAAAGTTACGTAAAGAACGAGCTTTAAATTTACGTGAAAATTTTCAAATTAGCTTATTTAGTAATGCAGTCGTACACTGGGATGGCAAATTGCTTCCTTCGTTAACTTCAAAAGATCTTGTTGACCGATTACCAATAATTATTTCTAGTGGGGATCATGAACAACTTCTAGGTGTACCAAAATTATCAGAAGGAACTGGAGAGGAACAGGCTATAAAAGTATATGAATCAATTGAAGAATGGGGCCTAAAAAACTCAGTTGTAGCTGTTTGCTGTGATACTACGTCTTCAAACACCGGTAGATTAAAAGGCACATGTATATTATTAGAACAACGTCTTGAAAAAGATTTGTTGTATTTACTTTGTCGACATCATATTTATGAAATTGTTTTAAAAAGTATTTTCGAAGAAAAATTTGGTTCAACCTCAGGGCCTAATGTTCAACTTTTTAAAAAATTCCAAGAAGGCTGGAGTAACATAAATACAAATAAATTCAATCCAGGTATAGAAGATAAATATGTTAGTGAAAAATTATGCGATGCCAAACAACGTGTACTTGAATTTTCGCTAATTATTTCAAAAGAAAAACAGTTTAGAGAAGATTATAGAGAGCTATTAGAACTGTCTATAATTTTCCTAGGAGGAATCCCACATCGCAGTATATTGTTTCGAGTTCCGGGAGCATTCCATCACGCCCGATGGATGTCCAAAGCGATATATTGCCTAAAAATATATATTTTTAGAAAACAATTTCATATGACCGCAGAACAAGAAAGAGCATGTCGAGATATTTGTATATTTATAATATGTGTTTATATTGAAAGATGGTTTCGCTCACATGTTGCAATTGAAGCACCTTATCAAGATCTTTCATTTGTTCATTGTTTGATTGAATATGAAAAAATAGATAAAAATATATCAAAAATTGCATTAAAAAAATTTTGTGGTCACTTGTGGTACCTAACTCCCGAAGTAGCAGGATTATCATTTTTTGATTCAAATATTCCTTTATCAATGAAATTAAAAATGGTACAGTCACTAAAAAATCACGATGACAATGCAAATGTAATTAAGCGTTATGTTGTTCCAATAAATAATTATGCGTCTCTAAAAAATAAACAAATTTATGAATTTATAAATAGTTCATCGATAAAGTTATTTGAAAGATTTAACATTGCCACCGATTTTTTGAACCAAAATCCGTTAGATTGGAATGAAAATGATAATTACCAAAAAGGTAAATCTTTATTTAATCAGTTGAAAGTCATCAACGATGCAGCTGAACGAGGAGTTCAATTAATAAGTAATTTCAATGAAATAATTACTAAAGATGAAGAACAAAAACAATTTTTAATACAATCGGTTTATGACTATCGTAAGAAATATCCTGATGCAAAAAGAAGTACTCTCTCTAGAGAATTTTAATATTATTTATTTTATAGCGAAATTTTAACCTTGCATTTATTAAAATTACAATATTTTTTATAACACATAAAAAAATAAATAAATACTTTCTCAGTTTCACATTCAAGCTAATATGTACTGGAAGTGTGTTATTTTTATTTTTCTTATAAATAAGCCAAAATAATCTATTATTTTGTCAATATAAAATTTATTATAGTATAAAACCGAGTTTTTGTTATTTTGTGATAGAATGAGTCGTTTTATGAGAAAAACACTTATAACAAATATTATTGTAAATTTAATTTTAAAAACATTTTATAATAAGTTATTTTTTTCTATAGTTAATACTTTCGGATTTAATCGCAAAAAACTGAAAAACACCTTTTTTAAAAAATGTTTGAACTTTTAACTTTTACGAGGTAAATACTTGACTTACGACTTTTTTAGTAATGAACTTTATTATTTAGAATATTAATATCTACAATTTTTTTCTTATAAACGTTTACGTAAATGTCATAGTTTTTGAGATAAACCACAATAACTGAAAAACTACCCTTATTACCGAGTTTTCAACCCTCTTGAGGCACGGCTTAGGGTTGACCAAAATTAACGAAATTAAGTATGAACCATTTTTTTATAGTTTAGAACAAATCTGGGGGGTGGCCCGATCAAATTTCGAAAAAAAAAATTCTACACCTATAAGCTAAGGACCACCCTATTATACAGGGCATTATCTATTTTATTATGTGGAGACGAGAGATATCAGCGTTATTTAAGACATCTTATATTTGAAGTAAGTTTAAATGAATATTATTATTTGAATTATTTTTAACCCAATTATTCATATTTCAATTAGTATATAAGGGAAAATCGTGAATATTTAGAAAAAATATTGGGCAAGTACAAGATTGAAGATTATTTGTGGTACCACTTTTCAATTAATCCAGGTATTTTTATGTGCCTATTTATTGTTTGAAATAAATTACTTTAAATTTAAAATGAAAATTCTATTAACCTTGTAAGTATTAAATAATTATATAGTTTGAATGTATTACAAAATATTAGTATCTATATTATCTATTAAAGTGGCTAGATTTTTCTTAAATTTTTTTTAGAGCTCCATAAAAAATAGTACACATATTGTTTTTATAAAACTCAAAGAACAGTAATAATATTTAAGGAAACGCTATGTGTGTTTATACATTTTTAAAGCCAAAAAAATATTTTTTAACTTTTGATTTTTGTATTTTTTTTTTTTTTTTTGTCACTTTGTACTCGTAAAAAATTTTAACCAAATTTTGTAAGGATACACATATCTACACTTTAAAACATTTGCCTTAACCATTAAACCATTGCAAACTGATGCTGAAACTTAGTAGCGATGAGTGAGTAAAATTTACGCAGAGACTCATCTTTTTTGTTATTATCGATTAAATATACTCAAATGGAAATTAAAGATCAATCTCTTTTCTTACAACCAAAATAATTATGTGTTTTAGATAAAATTTAGATTAGTGAAAACATAATGAATTATGTATTAGCCCTATTATCTCATGTATATACTCTTCATCTTTACATTCTATTGGTTATTGTGAAATAGGCTTTTTATTTTTAGTTGTAAAAGAAATTATACGTCTCACGGTAAAAATATCGTAACCGTGTTGTTCATTTTTTGACATATTTCAAAAATATTTTGAAAAGTATACATTGATATTTGTAAAAAATAAATAAATGGTCAAGTATCCATTATAAATATACACAATAGTTTTTAATTTAAAAATTTCAATTCAACATTAGTTTAACCTTTTATAATTGTTACCATGGGGTAGTGCAAGCTGTGCTCATCTACACTACCTTCACCTACTAGTTGTTATACCCTAAAATTGTTATTAATCTAACATTTTTTCTAAAAAAAGAAAAAACTAATAATTGGTTATTATGAAAATTAAAAAAATAATAATAATAACGTTTTTTTATTTCTTATTGTATAAGAGACAAATAATAAAAAATGTACTTTTAATATAATCCAAAACTGTAAAATTTATTTGAAAAAAGGTAACGCGAAGAGTTCGCAGGATCATGAGTAATTAAAGATGTCAGAATCTGTTTGTACACTTGTACACAAAGTCAACAGATTTAACGAACCAGCAGTTTTTCAATAAAATCAAAATAGAAGCGACAATTTTTTTTTTTTGTTTTATTTAGATACATGTTTTTCCTTATTTATCAATCATTATTTATTTTTTATGTTCATACTTTATACTTTATTAAGGTGTACCTAATGACTTCAATTTTTCAAATGGCAGCATACATTGTTTACGAGCTTATTTATAAAATAATAATCAAATAAAGAAAATTACTGGTCGATAACAACTTTTGGACTTGTACTTCAGGAGTAATTATCTTTTTTTACCTAAGCGGGAGGAAACGGAGTGCGGCAGAAAAATAAAAATAGTTATATCTGCACTTCTCCTGCAGTCGAAATTTTAAAATGCTAATAAAATTTGATGTACCATTCCAAAATTTAAAATCGACAAGCAGTTTTCTTAATGGAATAATTTCCTATTTTATAAGCTAGTTACATGTGTGTGTTTACATTTAAAAATATTAAGGTTTTACTCTAAAAATAAGATAAATGACGTACCTAATAACTATTTAACCACTTATATATTGTGAGATAAATATTACTCAACAAAGTCAAAAAAATTATTTATAAGATTATTATTATTATAGGAGAAATTTAATGGTCAAAAATAAATCACTCTGTATATAAAAGAGAATTATTAATAAAATTAAATTTAAAAGCAGGTAATATTTATTAAATAAAAATATATTGAAAAAAAAACCTTTCAAGAAACATTATTATTAGGGTGATGCTGACTCAAAGTCTACCACCTACGCACCGCCACTACTAGTACTTTATTAAATATTGTCAACAATATATGATTAAAACTAAAATTTTGAATTAGTTTTGTTCATATATTTTATAATAACAAATGTTTATAGTACCATTGTTAAAAATGATATATATTTTTTATTTTTTTTATTTTTCTTTATGTCTTTGTTGAAGTTAAAGTTCGTATTATTTATAATTTACATATATAAATTAAATTTTTAGGTGTGACAATTATTCCTGATGATATTGAATTATACGCTGCAGCTACTTTTCTAAATGTTGGTATCTATAAATATGATTATGATACAAAAGAATGGGATTTCTACCACAAGGATTTACCTGATTATATATCATTGAGAAAATCGCAGTTTGAATTTAGAGTTATCGCTGATAAATTATCTGATAGCGTTTCTGAGAAAAAATCAAAAAAAGTTATAAAAAAAACAGCAGAAATAGAGTCAAATATGGTCTATTTAAATGAATCTAAAAAAGTATAACAAAAAGAATTTCAAAATTGTCTAGAAATAAAGCCAGAAATAACACTACACAAAGTTATCAACAAAAAAGAAACTGAGAAAACTTCAAAAAAAGAGTCAGTGAAAAGAACAGAAACAGTGAAAAGAGCTATGGACGATGAAACTACTAAAGGAACAGAGAATGACCCCATGAATATTAAGGAAAAACTAACAAATATAATTTCTTTAATAAAATCAAAAATATGTGATAAAAAAGAGGAGACACTTAAGTTAGATTTATTAAGAGATCAGTGTATTTACTTAGCACAAAGCAAAAAAGGTTTCTACTTAGTTTATTATGTTGATGACACTATAGTTGTATAAAATGTATAGAAAAAAAAAAATAAATGGTATAATTATTAACAGTTACAAAAAATAATAATTTAGGTAATTTAATACAAATATCTGTATAATTTTATATTCTTATAAGATTCGTCATTTTTTTAAATTTATCAATTAAACAGTTAGTTATTCCATGTTCTCCATACAAACAATTAAAATCATTCATTTCTAATGTTTTCTAAGTATTTATTGACGAATCAAGTTTGATATGATAGGTTTAACTACAAAATGAAATCATTTTACTTTGTAATTTAATTATTTTTTTACTCTATTTGTGTGTGCTACTACTAGACTATAATATTATAAATTTTTTGGTAACATGTTGCTATATAAATAATTTCTAAAAAAAATGATTGTTAGTTTCTCTTGAATTGACAGTGNTAAAAAAAATGATTGTTAGTTTCTCCTGAATTGACAGTGGATTTTTACAATTATAATCAAATTGTATTATACGCTCAATTGAGTAAATCTTTTTAACAACTTTGTTTTGATTGGTTCATTTAGTTAAAGTAAATCATTAAAATTAATTAAGTTCTGAATATTTCAATTGCAGAATCTTTTCAAACACCAAAGGTTACTAGGAAGTTAATATTATTACTTCAATTTAAGTTATCTATTACGATAAAAATGCAAAAAACAATTGATCTACTTTGATATTTTTACTATAAATAGTAATTATAAATCTTCCTAACTGCATATTAATCTTAACGATACAATTTTTTTAATTGTCATAAAATTTTCTATTTGATGATGTCAATTTCAAACTTGCCAATTCAGCTAAAAGTTGTTAAATTAAATAAATTTTTTTTTATTATAAACATTCACAAAAATCAACTTTAAACGATTAAAAAATAGGTTAAATATGTCATTTTCTTTATTTTTAATATATTATTAATCAAAATCAATATTAATTTAAAACTTTTTTTTTTTTTCATAATTATTTTTTAATAATAAGTAATAATATTAAAATTTAGATTGAAAAAGCCTAATTGCACATTTAAAACATCGAAAAAAGTTGACTTAGAAAATATATTTTTGTTTCTGATGTAAATTCCTTGTAGTCCAGTGTATTTATTCATAAGTAACAAAAAATTTTTATTAAAAAATATTGCATCAATCCCATTAAATTTTTATACTCGTTAAAATTAAAGGAATATACAACTACTTTATTATTTTTATAATTTCTTCGTATAAATTACAATATTAAATTATTGAATATCATTTTCATACTAAATTTAATAACTAGAATTAGTATTTATTCATATATTATATTTTTAAATCAAAGAACTACTAATTAAAATATAAATAAGGAAATAGGAGATCATATAGCTTCTGGAATAATCCATTAATTTGTTAAAATTAAATATTATCTACAGATTTGCATCGAAGCGTTTCTAATGATAGTGATTTTAATCACTGTCAGATTAAATTCATATTGGAGCCAACTATGCCACGTCCCCACTGTGCCGCGACCCCACTGTGCTACCGCTTTTTTTATATTCATATTTTTGATGTATTATTATTGCAATGAATAATATAAAATTATTTTTGGATACCTTGAAACATAATTTAAAAGTTGCTAACTACAAATAAGTTTACAAAATAACTATTCATAGAGCTATCAAAATTTAAAAAAGGTGTACATAATTTATACTTCAGATGTAATTCTTATAACTTCTATGAAATTTAATTTAAAAATTTTATCTTTTGTTGTATACAAATTTATGTTAGTGAAAATATTAAGACACTGTATAAAATTGTAAGGTGCTAAATATAAATTTAAGTCTAAGCGCTTTGTCCAAAAATATATACATTTATATATATATATATATATGTAAAATTTATTTCTGTAATATATGTCATAAAATAAATTTAATTCTTTATACCCAAAAAAAAAAAAATACTTAAGAAGTTATAACTGATGAAGTATATTGAAAAAAATTTGAATAAAAATAAATTTTGATGGTTACTTATTATTACTTAATTATTTTAGGACTACTGAAATACACGCAAAAAAATTAATACAAATAAGTTAATTTTTATAATAGTAATAATATTCAAAGACATAAATCAAGAATATCGCCATAAATGACGCCATAAAATAATTGTGTAAATATTACAGTTTCTTATAAGTCAGATTAAAAATATATTTTATTAAATTTATATCAACTCAAGTTGAAAAAGTAAAATTTTTGTGCATAAGTAGCTATTTTTAATTAACTCCAGTAAACAGATTAATAGTTTGATTAAAAAAAAAACCCAGCACAGTGGGGTCGTGGCATAGTTGGGTCCAGTATAGATGATATCTGACAGTGATTAAAATCACTATCATAAAAAACGCTTCAATGCAAATCTGTAGATAGTGTTTAATTAAAAAAAAAATTTGTCAAAAAAGTAGGTCAAGTGAGAGCTGAGAAAATAAATGATAGCTACAAAAAAAGACCACATAGTAAAATTATATTAATATGACTTTCTTCTCACAAGAGATTAATGGGATCTTTGATATTTAATGCAGTTATTGAATCTAAATGAGATAAAAATCAAATGAGTTAAACATTTTTTCCTAACTCAAAAAGAATTAAGAAAAAATTCAGTGCCACAGGCATGAAAGACCCAAGTGTTACCGTCTCAGAAACCGTACGTCGCATTCGTCACTCAATAATAATAGAAATTTAGCTTGTTCAAATTTTAAAGTTATTTTTCTCGACTTCAAAGAAACAATAAAATTTAAATATGTTTAACTTTTTAAACTATGTCAAATAGATTGATATAATATTTATGAAAATCAATGTAATCCCCTTATAATAAAATAAAATAAAATACAAAACCAAGAATTTTAACACAAAAATAGCATATTTTTACTATGAAGACAAAATAAAGTACGAAATTATTTTTTTAATATTAAAGCATATTACATAAGCTTTGATTTAAGATATATATAAAAGTGTCAGTATTTCCGGAACACTTTCAAATGTTAAGTTGAAAAAATTAATTTTTTGTGAAAAGTTGTCATTTTGAATCCTCCCATGTGGGCTGGTAAAGGGTTAAATTTATGAAAAAAATATACCAAATAATAGGTAAAGACATCAAACATCTATAAAAAAAAATTATATTGATTTATTCATTTTTGAAAAAGTTATAGCAGTTTTAAGTAAAAAAAATTGGAAAAATTTCGAAAATTAGCGATTTTTAAATTGGTTATTTTTTTAGAGGTTTCCCCCATATAGAGTAAACAATGGAAAATTTTTCAATTTTTGAGGGTAATGTCTTCGACTAGATGCGATTTTTGATCTTTTGACGTATCGTTGAAAAAAATCCGTTTGGCGAGAGCTGAGAAAAAGTGGTAACGGACACCAAAAAAAAAAACACATAGTAAAACCAATACTATCTCAGCTTCGCATCGAAGCTAAAAGATTAAAAATTAAACTTTTTAAATTATAATCTTTCATAAAAATCATTTTTAAAGGACACAAAAAATAGGTTAAACAAGACAATTTGAATTGAAATTTTGCACGAATTATTTTTGACATATTAAAAATCAAAATAAATTTTTAAATATAAATACTTGTTTTTATAATCTAAAATGTAATTGCAAATTTGAAATTAGCGTAAAAACATATTTAAGCAAAGTATATTTTTACTATGTATGCCTTCCGGAGACTTTATAATTACTATTTACAATAAATTTACGAGAAAAGCTCAATATTTTGTTAAAATCACTATTTTAGCATCATAGTAAAATTAATACCTTCTCAGCTTTACATCGAAGCTAACATTTACTTTGAATTGTTCATTTTTTAAAAAATTATGATATTTTAAGAAAAAGAGTTGAAATATTGATGAAATTTACAGATTTTAAAAATTTAATTTTTTGAGGGATTTCCATCATTTACAGAGAACGAGAAAAATATTTTCAATTTATAGGAGTAATGTCCTCAACTAGATACGATTTGTGATTTTTTGACGTATCGTTGAGAAAAATCGGTCCAGTAAGAGCTGAAAAAAGTAGTGACAGACTCAAAAAAATAACACATATCATGGTAAAATTAATGCCTTTTCAAGTCACATTGAAATTAAATAAAATTTATTTCAAAGTTACAAATTTCTAGTTAAATAATTTTTTTTGTCTATATTTACTATAATGTATTTTAAATTTATAAAAAAAATTTAAATTATAATGATTTATTATTCATTGTAGAAATTTATTTGGACACATGATTCAATAAAAAGTATTTCAACATTCGAAGATTTGTATAAAACATGATATTTTAAAATTATAATAGACGAAAAAATAAAATTTTATTAATAGTGTACTCAATTCTTTTTCCTTTAGAATTATTAATCATTTGGTCAAAAATTACATCTAAATATGACATTTCTGAAGTGTATTCAATTTTTTTACCTGTTGTATAACATTGCACCTGTTATTTCAAATGTGGTGAGTTAATAATTTAAAATATGTAGTGTAGGTCTAAATAATATACCTAAATTCTGGTATTCAAATTTTATAGTAAAGTTAAGTTCTAACACAATTAAATTTTAATTTTTTGGAAATTCAATGGTATTTGTGACTTTATACAATTATATCTTTTATTTTTGCGTGAAAGGATACATATTTGAACTTATAATACTAAACACAGGTCTATCTGTAAACATTATAGATAAAAATTCATAATTTTTTAAATAATTAATTTTTTGTAATAGCTTTACACGATGTATAGTTTCGAGTTTTCAATGTACACCAAATTTTTTCATAAAAATTAATAGATTAAAATGTTATTAATTTTTTTGAGTCACGTAGGATATCAAGTTTATTGTAAAAAAATCATTTTTAAAGGTAGTCTTAAGTGAGAGCATGATTTTAACTTTTTAAGTTAAATAGGAACCTTTCATCATCTTTATACTATTAGACAGAAAATAGACCTATTAAGTGCCGGATAACCAGTTTTGTAATATTACTTTTTGATTTATATTTTATACAAATTAACGAGCATTGTACTCAATATAGTAGCATTCCTTTTTGTGTGTATGGTAAAAATAATGCGTCGCTAAACACTACCTTGTCTAAATCTAAAAATGCTAATATTTCGAGAAATTTTATTAAATCCTTGTTACTACATATAAAAACTTTTTTAAGCTGATTTTATAGTTATGAAAATATCTTTCAATAATGATAAAATAACAGGATTGAGAAAAAAATGTTTTTGTTTTTATATCAAAAAATTGGTTTTAATCGTTTTAAACAAAACTAAAATTTCATAAACATGATCTTTTTTTAATGATTTTATTTATATGTTCTAAACAAGTTTTAAACTCGATTTACTCAAATTTTAAGCATAAACTTTCATATTGTAAGAATTACAGGCTGATCCATATTATACAATTTAGTAGCAATTTATCTCATTTGTTATATGTATTGCTCATTAAGATTAAAATTAAATTAAATTAAATTTTATTCAAGTTTTTTCGTTTATTTTTACAATGTCTTGTTTATTGTTTTCTAAGTACACAAGAATTTGAGCGGTCGTAAAAATTTTTTTTTTTGTTATATGATTTTTTGCTGTGAAACAAACACGTGTTAGTTAGTTAAAAATATGATCAAATAAAAATATTATTTTTAACGTTTTCATAGCCATTAGCTACATCAAACTTGACGTCAACACCTGTTTTAGATGCTACCGCTGTGTGTAGATAAAACATGTACAGCTCCGAAATGATTGCCAACTATATTGCAATCAATTAGATCAATTTGTTTTCATGACTTCAACTAACATCGGAATACATTTACTTGTATACGAAGTGTTCAATAAGTAAGGAAACGGGTTTCTATTGTTCTCATTGTTTACAATAATTGATCTGTTTCCTTATTTACTAAACACTCTGTATATTGTTTAATGACACCAAAATAAACCTTGTGATTTTCATCATGTGCTCGTAGATTGTTTTTTTCGATAACTAAAATAGAATTATTTCAACGTAACTACAAAAAAAATTTCATAGTTAAAAATTTACTATAAAAACATTTCTTTTATTATATTGCTCTACGAGCATAATGTAAAAGTATTGACCTCAATTTTAGAGTTCTTGAATTTTACTATGATTTATAGTTTTTGAATATTATTTAAAGTCTCAGAAGATTTTTTTAAATTTATTTCAAAATAAAGTAATATTTTTAGTTTATATGAAATTATATTATATTTTATAATATAAAATTTAGTTATTATCATCAATATATCATTCAATATTTCAAATAAAATTGTATACGTAATTAGATGTTTTTTGATATTTATATTTGACATAGGTATTTCAAATTTTAATTTAGATTCTGGTTGTATTATTGACAGAAAATAGAACTCTATTTTGTTATTTGTAAAAAAAATTTTTGATGGTAAAATTTAGATTTTGTCTGTGAATGGTTAAAAATCACATTTTTATTGCATTTTGTCTTTTATCAATTGCGAAAAACTCGTAAGTCGAGATTAAGTAAAAAGTACTGATTTTTACTTTTAAATCATTGACAATATAAAATAATTTTTTAAGTTCTCTGGTTGAATTACACAATAATATATATACTTGATTAATGTTAGTTTTGTTTTATAATATACTCAGATTGTTTTTTAAAAAGTGCTCTATTGTTTAAAATGTTGACTAATTTTTAATTTTTTTTGAAGTTATCATTTTAAATAACCAATTAAAAAATTGTTTTAGTTGTGTTTGTTTGTTATATAAATGTGCATTTTTATTTTTATCACAATTTACACACATTGCCTCACTTATATTTATTTTGTTTTTAAAACTGTTATTAATATTTTATAGGCAGTAAAGTATGTTTCTGAAGTAACCCAGCTTAATAGTAATGGTATTTTATCTGTTATTATATCACCACTAGAATTCAATCATTACTTTAATCCAGTCGCTATAAACTGGAAAAATGTAATGCGAAGCAAATTGGGATTGGAATTTAATATTATGTCAGTGCAAATTTTAGCGGAAAATCGTCCTGCAATACCTTTGAACCATCCACATGATATCTTTCTTCGTGAAACTAAAAAAGAAAATTGTCTATATAGGGCTATATCTACCATATTATGTGGGGACGATCGGTATCATAATGTTCTTAGACATGATATTATCAATGTAAGTTAATTCATACAAATTGATCAATTTTTTTTAATTCATTAATATCTTTATTAGCATTTAAGAGAAAATCCTGCATATATATCGAGATTATTAGGTAGATTCAATATTATTGATTACCTATGGTATCATTTTGCTACAGATCCAAGTAAGTTGAAATAGAATATTTATATCTCATAGGAAGTATAATTTAATATGAAATAATACACAGTAAAAATTACCTTACTGTTCACAAATAATTTGCCAAATATCATTTAAATATTTAAATTGTTTATGTAAAAATAATAGTGTTAATGAGTGAATGTGTTTTCATGAAATATTTAATAAATTTATAGATAAAAACAAAATTAGTATTCGAGAATATAAAACTATAATTGAAAATATGAACAAAAATTTAAATATAACTGAATAAAGAAAACTTTACAAGTCCTTATAACTAAAAGGCTCTTAATGACCTTTTTATGATTTAACAGAACAATATTATATAGTTAAAACTAAATTCACCCACCAATTAATATCTTAAAATAATCTACATAAAGAGTAAATACTTATTTTTACATTGACCGATTTTTAGGTATGAATAAAAATGCCGATGATATTGAATTACTCGGAGCAGCTTTTTTCCTAGATGTGTGTATTTATAAGTATGATTATATTTCTCAAGAATGGAGCTTCTACTATAAAGATTGGCCCAACTATAGACCCCTTCCAATGGAACAACAATGTATTTACTTAGCGCAAGACAATAACAATTATTATATTGTTAACAACGTTCGTGGTATTGACGAAAACAAAAACTCTTTTTCGAATTAATTATTGATTAGATAATATTAATGAGTCCACTGTCTTAAAATAAAAAATAGCAAAATATTATTATGTGTAACACGTCGTATTCAACTCGACATTACTAATGTTGATATATTTACTTTTCTAAATTGTATTTTATTAGTTAATTATTATTACCATTGTTGTTATGATTAATGGTTAAGCATATTTAATGTATATTATCAATATTATTTTTGAATAATAAAATTAAATTTAATGTCATTGTGAAAAATATTTATTGTAAATACTAATATTTTACAACCGGTGGGTTTTATTTCGCTTCATTAATCAGTTATTTTATTTATATAGTGCCGGTACACGTATTATAATACTTAAAACAGAAAACAGCGGCAAATCATTTTTATATTGACAAAATAGGAACACTAAAAAATTATTACCGCCGGTCACCCTTTTCAACAATAGCGACTCTAACTAACTAGAAATGGCCGCTTAATCATGTGGATATTAATGACTTTATTGGCAAAATTATTAGATACAATAAATGTACAGTAGTATAATAACATTATTATGTGCTCCATTCTATACGAGTGCTGACTTTGTATTGATTGCAAAGGATTTGCGACAAAGTAAGTACTGAGTACTGCAATAACAAACTAAACCCAACGCATCGTGAAAGGGTAGGTGAAGTGAACGATGAGGTACCACTTGAAATTTATCGAAAGTCGCGTGACATTTTTTTGAAATAACAATATATTGACTATTGCGTGTGCTGTGAAAGCGTGCGTGTCACTAGAATATGTCAAATGCCTATTCTTTCGTGTATTATCAAGTGTATTTTGTTCTTTAATTGTCATAGACCATATGAGTTCAGCATTTGTCTCAAATGACTTCATTCTGTCATTATTATGTAGTTTCAAAGAGAATAGATTGAGTAAAACAAATATGTATTCAAATACACACTTAATGCCGGAAAAGAGTCATTCTCATGACATATCAATCATAAAAGCAGACCGTTATTTCGGATGGTTTTTTTGGACCACAATCGAATTATTTCGATTGTTTATCAAATTTAAGCTACTAAAGCGAGCGAACTCTATAATTTATTATTGGATGCAGCTATTTAAGTTTTTACCGATTGTTAAATTGGGTTAATTCTTTTTTTTTATTACAGATATATTTATAATTTATTTGACAGTATTTTAAAAGTTGCTTAATACATTTTGATTATAGTAAAAAAAACAACCACAAGTATTAAACAATTTTTTCTAAAATTTTGTTTTTCTTGAATGATTTTAATGTAAATCGTAATCCACTCTAAAATACACACTTTGGAGTTATTTGATTGTATTATTGGTACGTCACTAAACATTTTATCTTACCTCTTTATTAAATTATGATCAAGAGTGTACTGTATTTCTATAACAAAGACAGTGTGAATTCACGAAGAACATAAATTGCATTCGTTCTATTGAGATTGTGATTGTATAATAATTTTAAAACCTTATACCAGAAACGAACCGGTGTTTGATGTTTGGACGCATATAGGTCAGTTCTTCCGTTTACAAAACAAACATCAATGCCACAAAGCAACTGACCCCACTGACAACGGATGGCCAAAAAGCTTCATACGTTTCAAAAGAGACCTATTGTTATAGATGGCAATTCGCGAAGGGTGGAAATATAAGAAATACACAGTTGTATAAAAGGACCTAAACACGGTGTGCCTTTTATGTGCGTTGTCCGCGTGCTAAACCCCAAATTGATGACAAGGGCAAAACATATACAACTGTGAACAAAAAAACACTGCTCCCTTTAACACTCACTAGAAGGATTTTTAAACTTTACATTTGTTATTATTGAATTGAGTATAAATATATATTACTTTTTTTTATTTTACACTCCATATAATTTTTAACTGGCCTTTTTTGCTGGGCCTGAATTTATTTACCAGTTATTTTATACTTGATGCTAGTTTTATTGGTAGAAGGAAATGAAATCACTATTATATTGCATTATGCGTCTCGTATTTTTTGAATAATAGTAACACGGGCAATAATATTTCCAATAGTATAAGAAATTTTTAACAGCTATCAATTTCACTGCTTATTTTCTATGGGAAAATGGGCAGTGAAACATAAGTAGTCTGTTAGCATAATAATTTTTTTATTTTTATTTTGTCGAATTTATAACGGATAATCAAATACAAATGTAGAAAGCTCCAATCGACACAAAGATTACTGAATCTTTTGGTCATCAAATATGTATGAAGTGCCAAATACCAATTTTGGATGCAAATAAAACACTTTTTACTGCACGTCACAGATGCCTCAAACATAACGAACTTATTTTGAATTGTGTAAGACAACAATATTATAGCATATTTATTATTTTATTTCAAATTTTATAATGTCCAATAATAAATTGTAAAAATACTTTCCATGTATTTAAGTGTCTATTCAACTAAAGTTGCATTTTTTATTTAAAATAAAAATTCATTTAATTTTTTTATTGGTCTATTGTAAGTGTAAGCCAAAATTGAAATATTTAAATGTACTAAAATAGCCATAAGTTAAGTTTAATGAAGTTTATTTTTTAATTCTGATTTTAATTACTAATATATATCTAATACGAAAAAATTGTTTATTGTAAATTAACATTTAATTTTTTCAAACGGTACAAAAATATAAAAGGAAAAGGTATTTACTCCATTTAACTCCCTATTAGAAAAAAAAATGATTTAATTGTTAGTTATAAATATATTCAGGTAGAATTTTTAGAACTTTTAAATTTAATCTGGTATTTATATTAAAAAAAAGTGGACTAACATTCCAAAAAAAAAAAAAATGTACTAACTATTAATGTATTATAATAAATTGAGGTAACACAAAACAGGACAATTCTTTTTTTCAATTATATCATTTTTTATTTTATTAACTAGTTAAACAAGTGTTTCCATTAAAATCCACTTTTTTAAGGTATAAGGATGATTGAATAAAAAACTTAATAATTAATTAATCGAGAAAAATATAAAATTAAATTTTTTTAATATAATTATTATTTTAAAAGTAATCCAGTGGCTAATAATGAAAGAATTACTCTGTATACAACACTTTATTTTGTATAATTTCTCCATAAAAATTATAATACTAAATTATTCAATGTCAATTTCTTACTAATATTAATTACTATAATAAGTATTTATTCACACATTATACTTATATACCATAAATGTTGTAATCAAAATATAAATAAGGAAATAGGAGTTCATGTTGATTTGGAAATATTAAATATTGCCTACAGATTTGTATTGAAGCATTTTTTACGATAAAGATTATAATCATTGTCAGTTATTATACTTGTCCCTACTGTGCCGCGATCCTATTATGCTAGATTTTTTTTTTATATGGCTAGTAATACAAATAATAACAACAAACAAGTATTCTGTTTTTGGGTTTTTATTTTAGTAATACTATGGATTTTTTAAGTTATGATTAGTTTTACCAAAAATTTGTATTTAAAACTGAAGTAATTATTAGGTTTAGCATGAGAGATCACTCCAATTCCCCGGAGACTTAATAAATGGATTCCCTTTGTATCTAAAATGTATAACATTATCTACCGCGAAACTTTCAAGTTTGTACATATATGCATGAGCTTAATTCATTATTATCTACAGTTAATTATAGCATATATACGATATTCTAGAATAAAAGGGACCCATTCAACATAATATTATAGATAACATTTTTTAACGTTAGATGAGACCTACACGATTTATTTAAGTAACATAAATAATGCAGTAATAAACAATTGATAAGAAAGATAGAAGCAAACTAGAAGCATTAGAGTTATGGATATGGAGAAAAATGACAAAGACAAAATGAAAGGGCAAGAAAAGAAATGAGCAAGTGCTAGAAGTAGTACGAGAAGAAAGACAGCTGATGAAGGTGATTGAATCAAGAAAAATAGAGTTAATCGGACACATCATCCGACACAATGACTTTATAATCAACATTTTCGAAGGAAAGACAACTGGGAAGAAACCAAGAGGACGGAAACAATATTTTGAAAATATCCCGGAACTCATGAACTGTGCGTCTTTTGTTTCACAGAAGAATTTGGCGTCAGAGAGGAGTGGCTACAACGACAAGGCATTGCCTTTAAAAGATGATGATGACGTAGTTATGATAAAATTATTATACGCGCAAATAAATAAGTTTTAGTATTCGTACAGGCAATTTTAATAGTAAAATGTGTGTAAACAGATATTAGACAAATCTAGATGAGGTCAAATCGCTACAGTTGTCAAATATATAGTTTAAACAAAAATAGACATTTTAAGTATAATCATGACTCATCCGTCTAGAGTAGTAAACATTCGTACAAATAGTAAACAAATAAAATGCTGGACCGATGGGTGGTCCATTCGGTTTAACCGACTCCTTGCTGAGATCTTAGTCTATCGGCGAGCCAATTTGTAGACGTGCGACCTCACGACGGCAAAGCACACGCGTCTCCGCATGTAATCGCGCGTGTCGGGGTCCCATGCCGTGCCGAGTATTCCGTTTTGTTTCCAGCCGAGGTGACAATATTTTGCTTTCCAAGTGCTAGTTTCACCCTTAAAAACACGCCAACACTTATATTATACTCCCCACTGAGGGTAATTTCACATGAATATGTAGGGCACATTAAATGTACCCCAAAACATACCGTGTTCTCTTTTATTTTGTTACTAGACAAAAATTAAACAATTTTCGAATTATTACTCATATTTTAAGACTATCACAGAAAATAATTTTTAAAATGAAAAATTAAATTAAAATTTATTTCAATATATTAATAACCAATTTAAATTTAAATTTGATGTAACGATTAGAGATATTAATTGAATAACAAAATATTAAAAAGTTTTTATTCCATTCACAATTGTAAATCAACATTAATTGAACTTAGATTATTTTTTTTACTTAATTCAGTAACTATTATGGTAAATATTTTTTTGTTCTTAGAGATTATACGTTCTAATTAAATTTTATTAATAATACAATATTTTTTATACTTAGTTGAATATGTTTTAAATATAAACTTGTTAATTATATTTAATAAGTAAAAAATTTGATATTGATGAAGTATCAATATCAATTTTTTTTTTTTTTTTTGATTATATGTTGAAAAATCGATAACAGAAATCAATAATATTACGAGACCGCCTTTGAATCTTTAA